CTTTTTTCTTACAGCTTTACTGAGGTAGGATTAGCATTCCATAAAACTCACAGACACCAGAGATCTTTAGGGGTAATAAAATATTCTAAAACTGATTGTAGCAGTGGTGGCACAAACCTACACGTCTACTAAAAAATCACTGAATTAGCCCTGGCTGGTTTGGCTCAGCGGTTGGAGCGCTGGCCCATGGACGGACCGGACAATCCCAGGTTCGGTTCCCACTAAAGGCACGTACCTCGGTTACAGTTTGTCCCTGGCCCCAGTTGGGGTGGTGTGAGTGGCAACCAGTTGATGTGTCTCACTCACGTTGTTTCTCTCTCTCTCTTCCCCCCCTCTCTCCCTCCCACTCTATCTGAAGATAAATGCAAAAATGTCCTCGGGTGAAGATAAAAAAAAAAAAAAATCACTGAATTATACACTTGAAGTCAATATCAAAGAGTCGCCAAGGATTCTGGGCATGGTAACTTCCCAAATGGGCTCAAGAAAGAAGTTAAGTTTTCTTTGGTCTTTGTTGAAATGCAAATTAGGGTCTAGAAGATGTTACCTTCAAACACTAATTATCTCTGTGTAGTTACCAAGGAAATGCTGAGATTCAAAACTGAGTAAGTCAGCTTTGCTTGTAGAAATGTACAATGAAATTAGGAATAAAACCTTTTTTAAAAGCTGTATACTGTTGAAAGCAATGTGATTTCAAAACACGCAGATAAAGTCCTGTAGTTGAACGTGACTCACGCTGAGGGACGCCCTTCTGTGAAGAGCGGATGTGGCTCCCATCACTGAGTCTCCAGCCCCAGCAACACGCCACCTGCACTGCGAGTTCAATGCTGCCTCTCTAAGGCGGAACCAGGGCACAAGCTACGCCAAAATCAACAGAATGACGAGTACACTAAAAACCCAAAAAGAGGCCCTGGCCGTTTTGACTCAGTGGTTAGAGCATCAGCCTGTGGATGGGAGGGTCTTGGGTTCAATTCCCAATTAAGAGCATGTACCAGGGTTGGGGTTCTCTCCCCGGCCCTAGTCGGGGTACACACTGGAGACAACCAGTCGATGTGTCTCTCCCACAGTGATATCTCTCTCTCTCCAACCCCTTCAACTCTCTCCAAAAAAAATCAATGGAAAAAAAAATTTTTTATTTATTTATTTATTTATTTATTTTCTAGAGAGAGGAAGGGAGAGAGAGAGAGATACATCAATGAGAGAGAACACAGATTGGCCGCCTCCTGCATGCCCCCCACTGGGGATCGGGCCCACAACCTGGGCATGTGCCCTGACTGGGAATCGAACTGGCGACCTGTTGCTGCCTCGGTCAGTGCTCAACCACTGAGCCACACCGGCCAGGAAATTTCTTTTTTTTTTTTTTTTATCCTCACCCGAGGAAATTTTTTCATTTTTTGTTCAGATAGAGTAGGAGGGAGAGAAAGGAAGAGAGAGAGAGAGAGAAACATCGATGTGAAAGGGACACATTGAGTGGCTGCCACCCGCACGACCAACCAGGGCCAGGGACAAACTGCAACCTAAGTACATGCCCTTAGCGGGAACTGAACCCGGGTCTCTCTGGACCGCAGGCTGATGCTCCAACCGCTGAGCCAAACCGGCCAGGGCGGACATTTCTTTAAATAAACAAATAAATACAAAGAAGGCAGGAACGGGGAGGTGGCTGCAGGAGGGGAGCAGGACTAGAACAGGAGACAGTCTGGGGTGGACAAATTAAGTTCGTTAGGATATATAACAAAGAAAATAGTCAAAAAGAACAAATCCATAGAGCTTATCCCAAAGCTTCGCAATTAATCTTTGTTTTATATTACCCATTTACCACCTCAATTTCTCTTATTCAACAGGGCTCGCAGCATCAGGCAAAACAATGAATATCATAAAACTTTGAGTTTGTACATTACCGACTTATCCCAACTCCACTCCGGCTGATTTATTTCACATTTATCAAATCCTTGTGGATGATGAATATCGCAGGCTCACATTACCAGAGTGAACAAAAATAAAGAAAACAGTGATGAACATTTCAGCTTCTCTCATTTAAAAAGGACGCATAGCCCTGGCCAGTTTGGCTCAGCGGTTAGAGCATTGGCCTGTGGTCCAGAGAGACCCAGGTTTGGTTTCCGCTAAGGGCACGTACTTCGATTGCAGTTTGTCCCCGGCCCTGGTTGGTCGTGCGGGTGGCAGCCACTCGATGTGTCCCTTCACGTCGATGTTTCTCTCTCTCTCTCCCTTCCTCTCTCTCCCTCCCACTCTATCTGTACAAAAAATGGAAAAATATCCTAGGGTGAGGATAAAAAATAAATAAAATAAGGACGCATAATGGAAAATACGAGAACCCCAGCAATACTGTTGTCGCGCACAGCAAGCGGGGTTCACACACACTCCTCCTCTGAACAGCGTTCACTCAGAAAGCCGACGCAGTCACCCATCCCACGCCCACTGCTGTCCATCATCTGTAGATGGTGCAGAACCAGGAAGAGAACCCCCTTCTGTGATTTGAAAATACATCTGACTTGCCCTGGCCAGTTTGGCTCAGCGGTTAGAGCGTCGGCCTGCGGTACTGAGAGACCTGGGTTCGGTTTCCGCTAAGGGCACGTACTTCGGCTGCAGTTTGTCCCCGGCCCTGGTTGGTCGTGCGGGTGGCAGCCACTCGATGTGTCCCTTCACGTCGATGTTTCTCACTCTCTCTCCCTTCCTCTCTCTCCCTCCCATTCTATCTGTACAAAAAATGGAAAAATATCCTAGGGTGAGGATAAAAAAAAAAAAGAAAATACATCTGACTTTCCAAAATGTGTATTGAAAGACCATCCTCCCCTCAAAATATACCTACAATTTGCTTAGATCCTGGTCCAAAAAGTGAAAGCCTTAAGAGTGATAAATGTAACCTGACTTATAACAAACTGGTATCATGTAATAACTATTTAGTGTACGATCATTTCAAACCCATGGTCCCACTCACCCTTCTGAAATACTGCTAGGAAAAAATATATCAAACAGTGACCCTGATGAAAAATCCAAACAGTGTAGTCAGTGGGAAATAAACTAAACAAACCAAACCAGAAAAAAAAAAAAAAAACAGCAACGAATTAAGATATAAAATACACTTCTTTTAAAAAGGACATGAAAAATAAAACAAAATAGAGAAAAGTGGAAAATGGACAAGAATATGAATAGAAGAGAAGAAACAGGGAAGAGAAAAATCAAAAGAAAAAAACCATTTTCTTCTCTACCCAGGAAATGAGAATTACTTATCCAAGGAGCCAACAGAGGGAGAGGTATCAATTAACGAAGCTCTTAAACTAGAAACCGTGACTTTTACAAAGATGTATACTACACATTCTTTGTCTTCAAGTATCTGACATTCTAATGTGAGACACATATTCATCAGAACAACAACAACAAAAATGAAATGTGAGCTATACATAAATAGTGCCCAAATGTGGCAGAACACAGAACAGCAATTCTATGTAAGAAAACGAAGAAGCCCTGTGTTGCCTGTGGCCCGAACATGTATATTATCACGTATGAGTCGCCCAGCCTCTGGTACCTCCCAGCCGAATGACCACTCCTCGAAGCATGCTCATCACATTTCCTCATCTCAGACACTTGCGTTCCCCAGAGAACAGGCACCATGTCATGCTCCCCCCATCATCACCTGACCTCAAGCTGTCTTTCCAACACCCTACCTCCCATCACAACCAGCGCCTGCCCTCCCCTCCCACACACCCTGCAGCATCTGCCAAGCTACCCCTCCTGCAAGCTCACAAAAACACACTTGTCTCTGTTCACACTGTCACTCTGTCTGGAATGCCCATCATGCCCACACCGTACCCATTCTCCAAAGCAAGTGCCACCTGCACACTTCCCTGACCCCACACAGAAGGACCATCTCCTCTATCCGGATCCCACATCACTTTATCTGCACCCTTAAGGCCCTTGCTTCTTTCTAGCTTGCATTCCCGCATAACACACACACACACACACACACACACACACACACAAAACTGCAGTAGACCTTAGAAATAGATTAGATACAAACGCATATCTATAACATATGTGTAAACTATTTTCCATGCAAGAATATGAGACCTTGAGGACAGAACTGTCCTCCATCTTCACATCTTCCACAACACCTAACAGGTGTGTTGCACACAGCAAACCAAACCACAATAAATGAGAGAGTAATGGAATGCAGGCCAGCTAAAGATAAGTACCTGGGTTGCAGATGTGATCCCCGGGGTCATGCAGGAGGCAGCCTCTCTCTCCTGCCCTCCCCTCCCTTCCTCTCTATCTCTATCTAAAAATGAATGGAAAAGTATCCTCAGGTGAGGATTAACAAAAAAAGAGGATTAACAACAACAAAAATATCTGACAGTCAGAAAGGACTTGTAAACAGACGCAGTAAATCTCAAAATCCAGAACTCAAGCTAGGTTTGCCTGACTCACAATGTGACATTCTTTTGGTTTACAGAAACAGACAGGTTAGTTCAGCTAACTTATAAAATATATATAACTTTTATTCTCCAAGAACAAATGTACTGGGAAGCAATCACTGGCAGGAGAAAATGCCCAAAGTCGCAGTAACCCTCAGTGGACGTGCAAACCCAGGGAGCAGCAGTCTGTGCGACAATCAGTGCAGCCCTACTCGCAGAGGGGGGAGGAGGGAACCGTGCCATCTGCGAGGGAGGCCCTTCCACGCAAGGGCACTCCACACGCCATACATCGGAGCTGTCAACACTGATGGGAGTCAGGTATTAAACTCGTCTTACAGATGAGAAAAATGAGATTGAGAGAAGAATTTCCTCAGTGAACATCCCCCGTGCCCCACCTGGCTCGGAGCCTAGTCAGCCACACAGACAGGCAGAAATGTGACTACAGCAATATTACAGATATTACGGTAACTATGCCAGAGGAAGAATCAGAACAATTTCTTCTCTCCAAAACCGTGCGGCGAGTTCTACATGCCCCTGACACCCCACCCCCTGCGAGAGCAAGCAGATGCTTACCTGTGACCAGGATGGTAGACGGCTGTGTTGATTCCATGAGGATAATGACCACTGAAGCTGAAACAGTGACTCTCTTGATAGCTCTGATGTGTTCCAACACTAAGGAGGTAAAAAAGAAATATATACCATTGAACCAGTGAGATGCCACCACATACTCACTCTAACTAAATTAAAAGACAGATAACACTAAGTACTGCCGAGGGTGTAGAACAACCAGAATTCTGATACCTTAGGGTGGGAATGGAAATGATATAAAAACTTTACACAAAGGTCTGGCAGTTTCTTATAAAGAGAAACTACATCTACCCTGTAACTCAGTAATTCCAAAGATACTGAACCAATAGAAATGAAAATGGATATCCACAAAGACCTGTACGAGAATGGTCATGGTAGTTTTATTTGCAACAATCCAAAACTGGAAACTCAGAAGACCATCAATAAACGAATGGATAAATAAATCATAAATGTTATGGACTGAATGTTTGTGACTGCCCCTCCCCGCCCCACCATGGGCTGAATGTATCTTACCCAGAATTCATATGTTAAAACTCTAAAGCTATGCCCTGGCAGGTCTGGCTCAGCAGTTGGAGCGTCGGCCTGCAGACCAGAGAGTCCCGGGTTCGGTTTCCACTAAGGGCACGTACCCCCCACCCAAAAAAACCTTTAAAGCTAATGCAATGGTATTTGGAGGTAAGTCGGTCATAAGGACAGAGCCCTCACGAATGGGATTTGTGCCCTAATAAGAGGCCAGAGAGCTAGCTAACTCTCTTTCCATCATATGGGGCTGCAAGAAGTCGGCAGCCTGCAAGCCACTCAGAATCAAGCCAGGCTGCACCCTCGACTCACACTTCCAGTCTCCAGAACTGTGAGAAATAAACTTCTGTTCTTAATAAGCCACAAAGTTTATGGTATTTTGTTCTAGCAACGCAAACTAAGACACATGACATAGTTGAACAATGAATTACTAGTCAGCAATCAAATGGAATAAGCTACTGATACATCCCAAAATAAGATGAATCAAAACATGCTGAATGAAGGAAGACTCAGAAGTCGGAGTCCATTAACGTGAATCACTAGAACAGGCAAAACTCGTCTCTGATAGAAAAGAAGCACAGTGGTTGCTCAGGGAGTGAGTGTGGACAGAGACGCTGGAAAGGGGCGTGAGGGACTCCCTAGCACGACGGTAACGTTCTGTACCTTGAGAGGACTTAGAACTATGTGAGTCCATGCATTTGTCAAGCCTCACTGGCTGGTACACTTAGGGTCTGTATATTTCGTTGTACACAAATTTTATCTCAAAAGAAAGAAAACTATAAGCAAACATTGAACTTTAACTAATGATAAGCATACTAAAGTATTTAAGTAGTGACTCTGAAATTCACTTAAAAACAAGGCTGATTAATGGCTGGACAGAAATGTGACCCCAGCAAGTACAGTAAAACTGGGAACAGAATTTAAGTTGAGGTAGATGGGTTTTTATTATACAATTCTTTCAAACTTCCTATTAATATTTGCAATTTTTTGTAATCAAATGCTGAAAGGAAACAACAAAATCAGACACTAAGACAGAGAAATAAACATTATTTTGTCAAACAGGTCTTCCCAAATAAAATGTTTTATTTTTACCTTACAAGGTAACTTCTAAGTTCTCCTCGGTAATTGATGACTAGGAGTTCTGCAGACCACTGTGCACTTCCTTTATGTTCTAAAAATATCAACCCAGCAACGGCATAGCTCAAATCACCTGCTAGACTAGATGCCTGCAGAAGAAAGGGAAATAAGTTACTAAACAGAGAGACAGAAGTTAACATACGTATAATTGGAAGCTATCCGAGACACTGGCCTTACCAGGCGCACTGTAGATAAGATAGCCCCAGAACGGATCTGTGTACTGAAGACTCAAGCAAATGAGAACGCCTACAGTAGACACTAAGTCTACACCAACCTCCCAACCACAGGCTGCAACCACAGCTGCCTCTTTGGATGACATATTCACCTAGACAGGTGAACCTTTGTTCACTGGTCTTCCGTGGGGAAAATAAAAGAAAGTAATGCCACCATTTGGCCTCAAAGAATTCTAAGATACAGAATTCAGATATAGGCCTTCAAATGTTGATTTCTATTTAAAGCAGTAACCAAAGCTAAAAAAAAAAAATGTCTCGGCTCTGATTACTTTCCATTTGCCTAATGAGCAACGTTAAGGGAAAGGACATTTAGCAACACGCACTTAATGATAATCTTTCCATCAACTAATTATCAGGTTATATTGCTAAGGACTTGAAGGCTGTGCAGCTTGGGAAGCACAGAAAATGAAGTTCATCGCCCTGAGTGGCTGGCCCTTCATCACCTTGAGCTATGCAATGAAATACCATAGCCACAGGTGGCTGCTAAACACCTGACACACGGCTCATCCCAACTGAGATACACTACAAATATAAAAAGATACACCAATAAATAAATTAATAAAAATGCACACCAAATTTCAAAGAAATGTCTACCAAAGAAAGTAAAATACTTCAATAATTTTTACACTAATTACATATTGAAATGATATTTAGAATTTATTGGATTAAATAAAATATATTAAATACATTTCACCTGTTTCTTTTAACTCTTCCTAATGCAACTACTAGAAAATTTAAAACTGTACGTGATCACACAGATACCTCATTTATAGTTCTATCAGATAGTGCTAGTCTAGAACACAGTAATCCAAACATCTGAGTTTGGTTCACCGAACTTCCATGTATGAACCCAATGCACTTTTTCAAGTTCTTCATTCATTATTCCTGCACAAAAATAATTCCCCAGATCATTGGTTCTCATTCTAGCTTCTCATTAGAATCAGCTCAGCAACTTGCAAACAATATTAATGCCCAGGGCCCACTTGATCAATTAAATCAGAAGTTTGGTGGGTGGAGTCTGGGCAATCCAGTAAGTTTTTTGTTTTTCTTTTCTGTCTAAAGTTTCCCAGGTGATTCTAAAATGCAGCCAGAGTTCGAACCACTGTTTCATCTGGCCCTGGACCTTGCCCACTTGAGGAAGAAGGATACAAAGTAAAAAGCACTGGGTTCCTAAAAGAGACACTAACTTCATTGTCATGGAAAAAGTCTCTCCCAATTTCAGTTTCTGAACTGTAGAATGAGGATAGCATCTGCCCAATCTACCCAAAGGAATGTTGTGAACATTAAATAAAAACAAAGTATAGCCCGGCTGGTGTGACTCAGTGGTTGAGCGTTGACCCATGCACCGAGAGGTCGCCAGTTCGATTCCCAGTCAGGACGCATGCCCAGGTTGTGGGCCCGATCCCCAGTGGGGGGCACGCCGGAGGCGGCCAGTCAATGTTCTTTCTCATCAATGTTTCTATCTCTCTCTCCTTCTTCCTTCTCTCTCTCTAAAATCAATAAAGAAAAAAAAAAACAGTATACATAAAAATCATTAATAAAGCACTAGCCCTGGCCGGTATGGCTCAGTGGTTAGAGTGTCGGCCCGCAGACCAGAGAGGCCCGGTACCTCGCTAAGGGCATATACCTCGGTTGCAGCTTGTCCCCAGCCCTTATTGGGGTCATGTGGGTGGTGACCACTCGATGTGTCTCTCTCATGTCGGTGTTTCTCTCTCTCTCTTCCACCCTCTCTCCCTCCCGCTCTATCCGAAGATAAATGCAAAAACGTCCTCAGGTGAGGATAAAAAAAAAAAAAAGTATAAAGCACTCTACAATTACAAGTTATTACTACCATTAATGTTTTTCTCCACTCTCCCCTTCCATTTCTACCCCCTTTAGGGTAACAAGTTCTAACTCCTCTCGAAGCTGTTCCTCCTGTGACAGCCACTTTCTTCCCCTCAGTGGACGCTATAACCACGTTCAGTGTCTCCCTGTAGCGCTGACTTAGTACCTTATTTTAATAACAGTGGACTGCACCTGGATACTGCATTACAAAATACACAGAATAAATTCTTTCATGTATATAGATGTCTAACTAGATTCTGGACATCTTGATTTATTATTCAGATTTCTATTTCCCATCTTCACATTCATTCACTCAGTACCGACACGTAAAGACATTTAAACAGGTGGTCAGCTGAGGGCACGTGCGTACCGGGGCAATAACGAAGAGCTCGCTTCCCACGAGGTCGAACACGCGCACGGTGCCCGTGCTCTCCGCGTAGGCCAGCAGGGTGCAGTCGTAACTCCACGCCACGCGTCTCCACTGCGGTTTCGGGTCTTTTGGAACTAGAACGAAAAGAAAGCTTTTAACAATGTATTAGAAAGATAGGTAACACAGTCACTGCAACTACAGTTAAGTATTCAACAATATTACATCATCTCCTGAGGGTCTCTCATGCTTCGGTTCAGTAGAAAGGAACAGCTCCCGGAAGCCCACTTCAAGTACGAGCCGGAAACAGGAGCCACAGCAAGTGCAGCCCACATACTGAAGCAAAGCCCAGATACCAGCAATCTGTTGAATGCTGAGCACGCCCTGGTCTGGTAAAGGCCCGGGAATAATATACCTCAAACACACATGGAATTAAGAGATCAAAAGCATAGAGAATGGGCAGAAAATAACTCTAATCCAATAAATGCAGTTCCTATGAAAACAAATAATAAAATATCGACTGAGAGCTTTTAAGTATATCAAATATAGATGTCAAGGAATGCAAAGCAGGATTATGCTGACATTTAGAAATATATAATATATACTGGACAAGTGAATCAAGAACTGTCCTTAGTCAATCACACAATTATAAAATTCTGGTAATCAACACCTTAATAATCCAACACCTGAATTTTTCTGTTTTGAATTCTTCAGCACAACAGAGAGAAGGCTATCAGCTGCAAAAGAAAAAGACACTTAAAACTCTAAACTGTGTTAGGTTGTGGTGTTCAGTGTTTTGTCTGCCTCAGTTTCCCTGTCCCGGAATCCAGGGATGAATGAAGAGACAGGAGGAGCAGTGCCTTCCCTTCACCAACAAGAATTCCCAGTGACGAGGGGACTCCAGGTGACAGCATCAGCCAAGAGTGGAACAAAGCCCAGAACCTAAGCATCCCACCTCCCCACAGTGCGGAGCTTGGTTCGGCCTTACGACAGCCTCAGGGGTGTTTCCTCAACATCGCACCTTCTCTACTGCTTTGCTAAAGTCCCAGGTCAAGCTACATCATGTCTTGCTTGGACTTTCACAAAGGTCTTCCTTCCTACCTCATTCTCTTCCCCTCTACTCCCCCCTCAGTACCACTGAAGACATCTTTCTAAAAGAGAAAGAGGGACAATCACATCCTCTGCTGCTTTAAGATCCCTGATGGGTCTCCATTTCCAACAGAATCAAGTCCAAACTCCTCCACAGACATGGGAGGACCTCCACAACGGTCCCATCCCAGCTGTCCAGTGTCACCTCCCTACCCTCCTCCACACGTCTGATAACCCACCAACACGACTGTGCACACAGAGCCTGTCTTCTGTGCAGCTCTGCCTCCACCTGGAGCGCTCACCTGCAGCATCACTCAGAGGGTTCTCGCTCGTCACAGCCAGGGGTGACAAACTGTCACCACCGTCCCTGACCCTGCTCAGAAGCTGCTCTCCTCTCTGTGCCCCACGTATGCTGTAAAAACCTTTCACAGCACGAACCACATCACGTCACATCACGCTGTTGACACGACCACGTCCCCACAGCTTCCTCAACTCCCTGAAATCAGAGACAAGGTCTCATTCACCACCGCCACCCTGGGACCCGACACACAGAGTGATTAATGTTTCACTGATGGACAAATCGAAGTCTCTAAGAAAAACCCATATTAGCACAGTCAGGACTAAGGGCTCAAGCACCACCAAACAATTAGCGTGAGTCGTACAGCCGGCATCACTCCACCCGAGAGAGGTGCTGCAGCTCAGACTTCCCTCCTGTCTCTGTAGTATCCGGGTCTGTGCCCTGCACATGGGGAAAGGAACCAGACGTCCATGCGTTTCTTCATTCTGACTATTTATTAACAGGCAAAAAGCCTGCGACAACATCCAAGGGGCCCTTGAACACAGGAGGGTCCAGTGAATTTTATTAAAGCCTAGGAGGGTATTGGAGGTATTGCATATACTCTGAGAGGCGTTCTTTTTTAATGGTAATAAAATGGGCCAAACAAATGAGTTCTCTGTCTTCAGAGAGCTTTAAAAAAAAATCAAACTTGGATGTAAACATGGGCACAAAATGATCAACACCAAGAACACAGGACCCGCATATACACAGATGCTCCATAAACACCATCGAGAAGGCAATTTAATGCCCTGAACATTCTCATGCGTAAGAGAAACACAGCAACATTTTCCCTTTATTACTGCTTTACCTGTCATAACAGACCGCTCCTCTTAATTCATTTTGATGTGATAAACGGATTTATGTCCCACACCCTGTGTGTGCTCCGACGTAAATTCCACCGAAGGGAATTGGCTTTCACCATCACACCTAGTCATTCCCAGGGGCTCCAGAAAACTTCGCATGTGTTTTGACCCAGACAAAGATATGTTGTCATTACCAGGTGAGATTTTACACATCAACTGGAAAATAGACTTTATCACCGGACTCTTCCCTACCTGTGCGGGTTTGGAGGAATGACCAGAAACCAAGCAATTTCTCTCTCTCACATCGCTGTGTCCCTCTCTCTCCTGCTTTCTCTCCCTTCCCCCTTCGCTCTAAAAAAAACAACAAGCAAACCAGTGGGGCTAGAACAACATGAAGAGAAGCTAAATATTTATATGACTGAAATAATAGTGTAGGTAGAAGACATGAGATAAAGTTTACAATCCTAGAATAAGAAATGACTAAGCATGATAAGAAACCCTGAAGTTATAAAGGAAAAAAATAAAACATGGCAAATGCGATTACCAAAATTTTTTTAAAAAGTAAACCAAGAAAGTTACCATAACAAATTTAAAAAACAAACTGAAAACTGTATGACCAGGGTTACCATTCATACCACAGAGAAATGGTACAAACCAGTAAGAAAAAGTCAAGTATTCTAAGAGGAATCCAGGCAAAAGGATATGATCTAACAATTCACACACACACACACAAAATAAAAGTAGACACTTAACATATGCTCTACCTAATAACTAAAGATATGCAAATTGAGGCTGACATGCTCTTTCCCCTTGCCTGTGAACCTGATGAATATTTTAAAAATAGGTAACATCTGGTGCTGAAAATGGAGAAAAGAAATAGCTTCAATTATACCTTTTTCATGGTGGTATAAATAGGCATAACTTTCAGGAATGAATTATGGCAACAGCTATCACATTGTGAAAACTACTCCCACACCCACAAACAGGATGTCATTTCCAGCACTGTTAGACACAGGAGGGGACAAAGATGGGTAAGAGACAGAGGCAGAAAACAAGCCACCATACACAGCCTAGATTTCTATCAAGAGGAAAATAAATAAAATGTGGTTCGCATTGTTACAGTGGAGAAGAATGCAAATTGAGAAGATAATCTTGTCTTTGCTTTTTCTACTTCTGCACTGTTCCAAATATGTACGGCTTTCGTAACTTAAAAACAGCACAGAGTAACCGGTTTCAGACTAGCTCTCCCACCAGAGAAGAAATCTATGCTGAAGAACTGTTTTGGAACGTGATACTGCAGGCAGTACAAGTCTGTGATCTCTGGGAGAAGGATCACCCTACTTTCTGGCAGGAAGCACTTTCCGGACCACGATGCATGAAGAGGGACCTCAAACAGGACATGCAAGTCTCACCGAACTGAGGAGATAAAGATTAGAGTTTGGAGCTATTAAGCTGGACTAGAATTTGATGACACAGACAACAGTATGGTGGTGACCAGAGGGAAGGGGTTGGGAAGAAGATGAAGAGGGTAAAAGGAGTCAAATATATACAGTGATGGAAGGAGACTAGACTTTGGAGGGTGAGCACAAAATACAATATATAGATGATGGGTTATAGAATTGTACACCTGAAACCTAGATAATGTTATTAACTAATGTTACACCAGTACATTTAATTGAATGTTTTAAAAAGATGTGCAGGGCAGCATTCCAGAGAGAAGTGAATGAGGCAGAAAAGGAACCTTAAGCTGTGGTACATTTACAACAGACTACTAGTCAGCCATAAAAACTAAGGACATCTTGCCTTTTCTGATGGCATGGATGAACCTGGAGAGAATTACACTAAGTGAAATAAGCCAGTTAGAGAAAGACAAGTACCATATGATTTCTCTTATATGTGGAATCTAATGAACAAAAGAAACTAACAAAATAGAAACAGACTCAGAGAGAGAACAGACTGACAGTTGTCAAGAGGAGAGAGAGGTTGCAGAGCTAGATAAAAAAAGGTAAAGGGATTAAGCAAAAAAAAAAAAAAAAAAAGAAAGACTCATGGACACAGACAACAGTATGGTGCTTACCAGAGGGAGAGGGGGAGGAGGGAGGTAGAAGAGGGTATAGGAGGGACAAGTGGTGATGGAAGGAGACTTGACTTGGGGTGGTGAATACACAATACAATACACAGAAGAAGTATTATAGAATTGTACACCTGAAACCTATATAATTTTATTAACCAATGTCAGTCCAATAAATTCAATTTTAAAAAAAGAAAGGAGGACTTCCGGTCAAGATGGCGGCGTAGGGAAATGCAGTATCGCGTCCTCCCACAACCACATCCAAGTTACAACAAAACTACAGAACAACCGTCATCCAAAACCGCCTGAAATCAAGCTGAATGGAAGTCCTACAACTACGGAATTAAAAAAAAATAAAAAAATAAAATAAAAAAAGCAGCTACATCCAGACCGGTAGGAGGGGCGGCGGCGCGAGGGCTGGCGGCAGAGGCGGCGCGGCAGCGCGACGGGTGGTCCCACACCCACGTGTGGCGGATAAAAATCAGGAGGATCCCGCGGCTGGGAAGGTCCTTCCTGAGGACTGAGGGGTCCCCGTCCCGCACCAGGTGCCCCGCTCAGGTTTCCAGTGCCAGGAAGAGAAGTCCCCATCACTTCTGGCTGGAAAAACCAGCGGAGACTGAGGCTCAGGGAAGCTGACCTGCCTGGAGCCCCAGGCAGCTCCCTAAAGGGCCCGCGCACGGACTGGTCGGACTCTCTCCCTCTAAGCTCGGAGGGGAGGCAGCTCGAGGGCGCCAGAGACACACAGGGGAGAACTGAGCTATTTGGCACTGGAGCGAGGGCAGGAGAGGGGGCTTCCTCAGGGACAAACGTGCTGTCAGAGGCCTTTGTTCCTTTGGT